ACTGTACTCACATACTGATAAGCAATATGATGGGTGAATTCACACAGTTGATGAAATGAACATATGCCAATGACAAAAATTCAAAGTCCTGACCACAGACTACGCGCTGACATTGCACAATCGTCACCACATAATTGCAGTAAGAAATTCACTTGTGTGACGACGGCTTCGTGCTTCACTTACACTCAGCTACCTGCAGATGTATGAGTTGAATCACGCAGTTGATGCAGCTGACCACTGTCCTGTTATACAGATTCAATGCGGCGACCACAGGACCAAGCTCTGTCACCAACCGGCGGTCTGCGCTGAAACATCCCATTCCGTTTTCTCTATGCCTCACTCGACTCCCATAAATGGAGGGCATTGTCACATCTGCCTTTTGAGCCGTAGTCGATTTATCGAGCTGCGAGAGGTGCCGCTTTCTTTGTCCGTCCGAGAGCTTCCTTCATCATCTCAATGATGCGACCGAGCCCTGAGTACAGCACTGCTTGAAGCAGTTCAGCTAATCTTTCTGGCACTTCAAGAATGCAGTTGCTTTCAAGGCCATCCTGTACGATATGCTCATCGTTTGATATGCGTTAAGTGTGATGTCGTTATTGACTCGTTTTTGTTCCCACAGTCTTACTTTCGAAGACCGATATTTTGCTTTATATTGTCCTATTTGTGCTTTGAATCTTTTGTTTACAAACTGTTTCAGGAGAAGGTAGGCGAAGAAGCTGCCAGAGCAAGTAGTGAAGATTTTGCCATAAACTTGTTTTCTACCATTTTATCCCTCTTGATTCAGCGAACTTCTTTAGCTCAACCTCCTGTCGATCTGCGTGTTTCCACGGGCCGTTTACTCGCTCTTGGAACCCAGTGTAATGTTTCTTTGATACAGCAACGATCGGTTCTTCTCGCAAAATCTCGTAATAGTATCGTGGACTCTTGTTTTTGTTCCTACCCATTCATTCGTTTTCATATTTTTTCCCGTTATTCCCAGCATACGTCTTTACATGCTGCATTGCGCATTCAGACGTTTCTGAATTACTTTCAAACATAAGGTCTACATTTCGCATTGTAGTTTTGCACTGGAAGCACATGCTGACAGAAAATTTTGCACACGCAGGGACAGTTTCCCTGATAAGACCATATTCAGTCTTACCAAAGTAAACTTTATCTTCAAAAAACTACAAGATTCGTGTTGTTGATAATTAATATATTAAATATATACTGTGAAAGTGAGGAGGATTTATCTTTTTGCAATTTCATTGATGTATTCACCACCTGTTCATC